TCTGATGGGACAATAAAACATTGTCTTAACTAGTTGTGCATGTTAAAGATCATAGATTGTTGGAAATAACAGTAACATATTGATGCTAAATTGACAAAATCTTACCCATTGCACACCTCATAGCAACACCTTCTGTTGGGTGTTATTTATTTATTATATTATATTATAGAGCTCTCTTGTTAATTATATTATGTTTATATTAATAAAATTATATTATAGAGCTGTCTTGTTAATTATATTATGTTTATATTATATTATATTATATTATATTATAGAGCTGTCTTGTTAATTATATTATTTTTATTATATTATATTATAGAGCTGTCTTGTTAATTATATTATGTTTATTTTTATTATATTATATTATAGAGCTGTCTTGTTAATTATATTATGTTTATTTTTATTATATTATATTATAGAGCTGTCTTGTTAATTATATTATGTTTATTTTATATTGTAGAGCTGTCTTGTTAATTATATTATGTTTATTTTTATTATATTATATTATAGAGCTGTCTTGTTAATTATATTATGTTTATATTATATTGTAGAGCTGTCTTGTTAATTATATTATGTTTATTTTTATTATATTATATTATAGAGCTGTCTTGTTAATTATATTATGTTTATTTTTATTATATTATATTATAGAGCTGTCTTGTTAATTATATTATGTTTATTTTTATTATATTATATTATAGAGCTGTCTTGTTAATTATATTATGTTTATATTAATTATATTATATTATAGAGCTGTCTTGTTAATTATATTATGTTTATATTATATTATAGAGCTGTCTTGTTAATCATATTATGTTTATATTTATTGTAGAGCTGTCTTGTTAATTATATTATGTTTATATTAATTATATTATAGAGCTGTCTTGTTAATTATATTATGTTTATATTATATTATAGAGCTGTCTTGTTAATTATATTATGTCTATATTATATTAGTAGAGCTGTCTTGTTAATTATATTATGTTTATATTATTATTATATTATATTATAGAGCTGTCTTGTTAATTATATTATGTTTATATTATATTATAGAGCTGTCTTGTTAAAAACAATCACCTACAGTAATATGGCTACGGTATGTTGTTTACAATCAATAACATTCACTTTTCTTCTTCATTTTTCTTCGTGACTGTAAACATTCCAGTCCCTACACATAATTACATTAATTAATCATGTATCTTTTTACATTAGAAATAATACAATTTAATATTGACTTGGTATCCCATTCAGAGAGTTCACATACCTAACAATGGTTGTTTGATATATTTATGAAAATAATGTTTTGGTATTTTTTTAGAATGATCAATGGCTGAATCCTAAACAAAGAAGAGGAAAACGTAAGTTATTATAACAATAGTTATCTCTATAAAAACTGTTTCTTGTTTTATACTACTATTATTTAGAAATATAAGTTGTAAAATGAATGAAATAAGATTATATTTTATTTAATAGATAGAATACCTGTAGTCACCTACTCTCTCAATTTCTGGTGTATGAGCCCAGCTGTTGTAAGTATTTAAATTTGGATTTTGAATTTAGAACATCTAAACAAGAATCAATATTGTTATCTCTGTATAAAATTGTCAGGTATCAATATTGTTATCTCTGTATAAAATTGTCAGGTATCAATATTGTTATCTCTGTATAAAATTGTCAGGTATCAATATTGTTATCTCTGTATAAAATTGTCAGGTATCAATATTGTTATCTCTGTATAAAATTGTCAGGTATCAATATTGTTATCTCTGTATAAAATTGTCAGGTATCAATATTGTTATCTCTGTATAAAATTGTCAGGAATCAATATTTTTGGAAGAGATTTCTTATATTTTTATGATATACTGGAAGCCAAAATATCTCCTAGTTTAGTTAAATTTGTGTTAAATAGTTTTATACTCCTCTACATGATTTAAATATTAAATATTAATAATATTAACTTTATATTTTATTACAGGCGTTTTCTGAATTCAGTAATTGTAAGAGTGTTATATTGAGCAGTGGAACTTTATCACCCATGTCCTCATTTCAATCAGAGCTAGGTTTACTATTCCCTATACAACTAGAAGCTAACCATGTTATAAAAGATAATCAGGTAGGTTTACAATCAGAGCTAGGTTTACCATTCCCTATACAACTAGAAGCTAACCATGTTATAAAAGATAATCAGGTAGGTTTACAATCAGAGCTAGGTTTACTATTCTCTATACAACTAGAAGCTAACCATGTTATAAAAGATAATCAGGTAGGTTTACAATCAGAGCTAGGTTTACTATTCTCTATACAACTAGAAGCTAACCATATTATAAAAGATAATCAGGTAGGTTTACAATCAGAGCTAGCTTTACTATTCCCTATACAACTAGAAGCTAACCATGTTATAAAAGATAATCAGGTAGGTTTACAATCAGAGCTAGGTTTACTATTCTCTATACAACTAGAAGCTAACCATGTTATAAAAGATAATCAGGTAGGTTTACAATCAGAGCTAGGTTTACCATTCTCTATACAGCTAGAAGCTAACCATGTTATAAAAGATAATCAGGTAGGTTTACAATCAGAGCTAGGTTTACTATTCTCTATACAACTAGAAGCTAACCATGTTATAAAAGATAATCAGGTAGGTTTACAATCAGAGCTAGGTTTACTATTCTCTATACAACTAGAAGCTAACCATGTTATAAAAGATAATCAGGTAGGTTTACAATCAGAGCTAGGTTTACTATTCTCTATACAACTAGAAGCTAACCATGTTATAAAAGATAATCAGGTAGGTTTACAATCAGAGCTAGGTTTACTATTCTCTATACAACTAGAAGCTAACCATGTTATAAAAGATAATCAGGTAGGTTTACAATCAGAGCTAGGTTTACTATTCTCTGTAAGCTGTACGCCAGCCAATCAGAGTCACTGATAGAGGACGGTAAACATTATTGCTTTGGATTTACAGACCAGTGGCTATTGTCTGTAAAAATACAAAGTTCATAATAGCTTGACATTGTGAAGATGTGATACAAGAATAGTAGCTATTGTAGTCAAGGTATAAGATGAAGTTCATAATAGCTTGACATTGTGAAGATGTGATACAAGAATAGTAGCTATTGTAGTCAAGGTATAAGATGTAATAGCTTGACATTTTGTTGTAATATGTTTTATATATGTTTATTTTCTAGGTATGGGTAGGTACACTAGGACAGGGTCCTAAAGGTAATACTCTACACGCTGTTTATAGAAATCTTGAAACGTTTACATTTCAAGATGAATTAGGACAGTTAATATTGACTGTTTGTCAGGTATAACCATCTTTCTTATTTTCACTAAGATTATTATTGAATTTTATTAATACAAACAGCCTCCTGGAAACTCAGTTGATCCTTCTATTTCCTCTTATCTTGTTTAAAATTCCTTACTGGGATCTCTTTTCATGTTGTATTATACAGACTTCATTAGCCTATTTCCTTCATAATCAATAATCTTATACTTTCTCTTGACAATTCCAGCTTATATTGAGTTTTTATTTTCTGTTAATTTCAGACAGTACCAAATGGAGTTCTATGTTTTTTACCATCCTATAAAGTTTTAGATAAACTCTCTCAAAGATGGAAGGTATCAAATAGTTAAATAACAAGACGTGGTTCACTGTGGTATTAATAATAGTATAAATAATATATACAGTGAGCTAGACGCTAGCTGGCTAACCTGAAGGTCCAGGGTTCATTCCTGACCTAGATTGAGATACTACTCTAATACATTAAGACATATGTGTCCCTGCTACACCTGAAAATAATTTAGAAAACCACTTTACTATCTATTTAAGATGACTGGTTTATGGAAGTGTATAAGAAATAAGAAAGTTATAGTAAGTGAGCCGAGAGGGGGTGATAAAGAAGAGTTTGAGGTTTTAATGAAACAGTTTTATCATGCTGTTAATAATAACTCAACTGATTCAGATAGTAAGATTCTTTATTTTCTTTATTTAAAGTTTTTATATAATTAATTTCCACCTTTTTAATTTTCAATCAGACGTCTAAAACTCGGTGTTTTATGATGTCACTATTCGCAAAATATGCTGTATCACTTAAGGCCTGAACTCAACAAGTGACATCATCATAGTTATCATGTAAATTATCAGATCTGAGCCTTCTTAACCTTGTATATTCTATAATATCTGTTTTTGACCAGTTGTCTTTTTCAAAACTCCACCATGTTGTAAAACAGTTAACAGTTGATTTATGAAAATTTAAACAGTATTTCTTATTATAGACCTTGTTATCAAGATGTACAGGATAAGAAGTTTATGATAATTTTGGAATATTTATTTTTCAGCATGTAATGATAATGATAATGATGATGATGATGAAAAGAGAGATACTGATGGTGCGTTATTTCTGGCTGTCTGTCGAGGTAAAGTTAGTGAAGGTCTAGATTTTGCTGATAATTATGCTAGAGCTGTTATAAGTGTAAGTTATCAGTTTATATTCTGAGTGATAATACTGTACTCTGACATGTGACTGATTATATTATGAGATTTAAACTCCAGTTTACTGTGGAGCTGCTTGATTGGAAAGTTTGATATCCGTGGAATTCAACATGTCCTGTAAAATAGTAGGTGTAGAGAGAATTAAACATTGTTACCTGTGTGATTCTATACCATTGGGATTAGAATTGGATCAGACCTGAACCTTTTCAGAACAATCAAACGCAACCTGTATCAGGGTCTCGGAAATTTATTCAGCAGATCGGACCATAATGAAGTATCTTAAGGCTTGGTGAACATCATTGTCATTGAAATCACACCACCTAACCCCTGTAAATAGGACCATGGTTCACTTGATCAAAGTAGCTTTGAAGGTGGTACTGAATTCCAACCAATCCAAGCTATTTATTTTATATGTATTTGTTATTTTATAGGTGGGAATACCATACCCTAATTTTAAAGATTTACAAGTAGAGTTAAAACGTAAATATAATGATGAACATCGTGAGAAGAAAGGTTTGTTGTCTGGTGGTGATTGGTATGAGATACAGGCATTTAGAGCATTAAACCAAGCTCTCGGACGGTGTATTAGACATAGGTTAGTATCAGTGCTGTTGATTTGAATATATTTGCTGGACATGTCTGTTTATCTGTCTAAAATGTCTGGTTGAAAATAACCTCTGTTAGATAATTATTATTATTGGTATTTTATATCTGATTACAAGCAGGATATTCTAGGTTTTATAAAATTCAATAAATGATATTAAATATTTCAGACGTGATTGGGGAGGGTTGATTCTAGTAGATGATAGATTTGTTAAAAACGGTCAGAAATATTGTAAAGGTTTGTTTTTAATTATTTGTGAGTGGAACTAGACTATACAGGCTTAGTTTAGATATATATATCAACTTGTTTCAAAACAAACAAATAAAACGATATCATATATGATTTTTTTCAATCTAGCAAAAATTTCCACACAAAACATGCACTCATAATGCTTACAGATACAAGTTTCATGTTTTTATTATAGGATTATCTAAATGGGTTCGTAATAAAGTCAGGACGTTCCATGATTTTCAGTCTGGATTATCCAGTCTGTCTAGTTTTGTTGAATATAGAATTGAAAATCATGAGAAAGAAACTAAGTAAGTATATAATCTAACAATGTATATGTCTATATTTGAGCTGTTATAAAAATAATATGATATTGATATAATGTAGATAATTCACTGTATTGTTTGTATGCTTGTAGTAAGAGTCTTGGTGATCTATAGATATTGTAAATACAGATAAGATCTAGGCCAAAAGGTTTAGGAGCAGACCAACTAGGAATATAAGGATCCCCATAAACCCAAATTCTTATCTTTGTAAAATAGCAATAGATCTTTGATATTGTCATTGCTTTGTGATACACACACAGTGTTTTGAAGCCCTAGGGGAATGCAGTAGGGGAATGTAAGGAGATGGAGGCCACACAAAATATCAAATACTGGGAGAGAAACTTCATTATAACCTGGAGCCTTATTCTAGAAAACAAATATAATTCTAGTGTTTCAGTTAATATTTTTATTATCCAATCAGATTACTGTATTTTATTAAATCTAGATTAAGTTAAGTATTGAAGAATAAGTCAGGTGTGCTATATTTATGTTTTGTATCTATTTTAGTATATATAGTGATGCTAATTATCAATTAATCTTTTTTCAGTGCCTCCTGTATATCCAGTACACCAACAGAAGTACAGAAATCAGAAAACCCAGAGGACAAATCAGGTGTATATCTTACTAGTCCTCAACCCCCAGATCCTAATACAGGATTTAAATATTCTTTATACTCCTTCAACAGAAGACTTCATGATACTATAGAAACACCATCATATAATGATAAACTATTAAATCTAGAAACACCATCATATAATGATAAACTATTATGTCCAGAACCACCTTCCGTAAAAAACGTGGATATGACCAAAATGGCTTCCATATTTCAACTAACACACGCTCAGGTTCAGCAAAGAATGACGGAATCATTAAAAACACCTACTAGTTCTCTCAAGTCAAGGGCAGTAACTCCTGTAATGACTAGTACACCTGTAACTAAACCAATCAATAAACAGCAAAATACATCAGTGACTACACCAAATAACACAGCTGTAAATATGCCTGCAAGTAGAAATAATATTCATGTTATGTACATCCCTCCAGGTGATTATAAACCAGGACAACTGTTAAATGTAAATATTGTAAAATCACCACCACCACAAAATTTAATTTCATCTCAAAATGTGTCAAATCTGGAACAAACTAATGGATCAAACAGAATCCAGACTAGACCTGCTCAAAGTGAAACTAGTCCTCCAATGATGCCAAATTCAAGGCAAAAGAATGTAGTGATGCTACCAGTTCAAAATTCAAACAGTTCAAAATCCAACATGGTGTCTTTGTTGTCCCCTCCTAAAATAACTGGTGGAAATAATGTTCAGTTAGTTAACTTGTTGAATCAGAAATCTCCCCCAGTTTCAGCTTCAACAAAACTACAAACAGTTCAGTTCCTTTCCCCACCCAAACCACCAACACAGTTAGTCAATGTAGCAAACATCAACGGTCAGTTGGTAACGTTACCTAAATCAGGCAAGCAGACAATCAAAGTGGCAACTATTGGAGGGAAAACTGTCATCATACCAGACGGCACTTCAGTTACATCTATGACATCACTTCTCTCTCAAACGCCTAGCAACAATGGACAATCTATGACATCACAGTCAATTCAGTTGTCAAACAACGATAATGGATCATTAGTCAGGAAAACTGTAGAAATTGAGAACACTGACATCACCATGGCAACAGAGCAGATTAATCAGGGATCAATTTCTAATCCAATGAAAATTAACAAAGAACCGAAAGAGAATCAATTCTTCAAATTTTGTTCAATTCTAAAAAAGGAAAATGACACGGAAAGTAAAATGCCGTCAAAAGAAGAAGAAATTTCGAGTACGCCCCAACTTTTTGACTCTGAATTAGTATTTGATGATGTTAAGAATGACTTAACAAAACCAGCCAATCGAAAGCCATTGTTCAAACGCAAGTCAGATGAAGGTCAAGGTAAAGAAGTGAAAGTTTCTGAAACTGACAGGGAACAAACAATGGAAATTATAAAGAAGTTACACCAAGAAAATGTTGAAATTAACCAAAAACCAGAAATTATACACAATACAAGAAATATAAATACATGTAGAGGTAGTTTGTCACTTTCTAATAAAAAATCACAGAAAATAGACACAGTGATGAAACCAGATGTAAAAACTGAAAACTGCTGTGTATTATCAGCAAGTGAAAATAAAAAGGTGGAAGAAGAAGTGTTAAGTATAAGACGAAAAGGAAAACGACGCCGTTCTGGAAACAGTAATATTCGGGTGGCACCTAAAAAATCTAGAGGCATAGAATTCCTTGAAGAAGGAGATAATACAGATGAAAACATTGAAAATAAGGTCATTATTTGTTTTTTATTATTTTGATTTCAACAATATTTATTAATACATGAAATAAACATATGAATTATAAAAATAAAAACAAATCTCACAATAATACTGAATACTATAATCTTTAGAAATAGAATATTAAATATATAACAACACTATTATAGATATACTACTCCTTTCTTTAATACTAGCAACATTTCAATTCATATACAGCAATCTTTATCAAGTATAAAATAATAATGAATACTATAATCTTTAGAAATAGATAGAATATTAAATATATAACAACACTATTATAGATATACTACTCCTTTCTTTAATACTAGCAACATTTCAATTCATATACAGCAATCTTTATCAAGTATAAAATAATACTGAATACTATAATCTTTAGAAATAGATAGAATATTAAATATATAACAACACTATTATAGATATACTACTCCTTTCTTTAATACTAGCAACATTTCAATTCATATACAGCAAACTTTATCAAGTATAAAATAATACTGAATACTATAATCTTTAGAAATAGATAGAATATTAAATATATAACAACACTATTATAGATATACTACTCCTTTCTTTAATACTAGCAACATTTCAATTCATATACAGCAATCTTTATCAAGTATAAAATAATACTGAATACTATAATCTTTAGAAATAGAATATTAAATATATAACAACACTATTATAGATATACTACTCCTTTCTTTAATACTAGCAACATTTCAATTCATATACAGCAATCTTTATCAAGTATAAAATAATACTGAATACTATAATCATTAGAAATAGATAGAATATTAAATATATAACAACACTATTATAGATATACTACTCCTTTCTTTAATACTAGCAACATTTCAATTCATATACAGCAATCTTTATCAAGTATAAAATAATACTGAATACTATAATCATTAGAAATAGAATATTAAATATATAACAACACTATTATAGATATACTACTCCTTTCTTTAATACTAGCAACATTTCAATTCATATACAGCAATCTTTATCAAGTATAAAATACTGTCTTAACTTCTATCTGTCAATGGATTTTTAATGTGCACAGTCTGTAACACATAAGGCCTAGGGTTATTGTCCTGACTGATTTTGTTTGTTTTAATTGGTTGATAATCTCTAAATGACTGTATTATAATATTTCCAGTTTTCCAGTATAACTTGTCGTGGTTGTGGAGTAACTTTAGTTAATAATCCAGTAGGTAAGTCATATTCTAAATACTACCATGTTTTACTTTAGTAAGTAAACTTCATAAATATTCATACTGTCATTTGATCTACACCTTATTCACATCGAATATGAGACACATAACATAAATTACATCAGTCATTGAAAAGATGGCTACGTCATATGAAGGAATAACCTTCAAGTAACTGAACACCCGATCCAACAGCAAGAAAAGGGGATTTCTCACAAAGTATCATTTAATAGCTAACTCATTTTCAATTTTTCTGATGTAAAATATGATTAGTTTTGAGCTAATGAGAATGGAGGAGGCGATTCTATTCAGCGAAATAACATTACCTTTTTTATGATTGTATGATAAGCCTCATTCTGGATTCAATATAGCCAATGCCTATTTAAACCAGCCAATCAAAATACAACTGTTATTTCTATAGATCTGTGTTATTTCTATAGATCTGTGTTATTTCTATAGATCTGTGTTATTTCTATAGATCTATGTTATTTCTATAGATCTATGTAATTTCTATAGATCTATGTTATTTCTATAGATCTATGTTATTTCTATAGATCTGTGTTATTTCTATAGATCTATGTTATTTCTATAGATCTGTGTTATTTCTATAGATCTATGTTATTTCTATAGATCTGTGTTATTTCTATAGATCTGTGTTATTTCTATAGATCTGTGTTATTTCTATAGATCTATGTTATTTCTATAGATCTGTGTTATTTCTATAGATCTGTGTTATTTCTATAGATCTATGCTATTTCTATAGATCTATGTTATTTCTATAGATCTATGTTATTTCTATAGATCTGTGTTATTTCTATAGATCTGTGTTATTTCTATAGATCTATGTTATTTCTATAGATCTATGTTATTTCTATAGATCTGTGTTATTTCTATAGATCTGTGTTATTTCTATAGATCTGTGTTATTTCTATAGATCTATGTTATTTCTATAGATCTATGTTATTTCTATAGATCTATGTTATTTCTATAGATCTGTGTTATTTCTATAGATCTGTGTTATTTCTATAGATCTGTGTTATTTCTATAGATCTGTGTTATTTCTATAGATCTATGTTATTTCTATAGATCTGTGTTATTTCTATAGATCTGGAGAAAAGGAAGAGATTGCCAGGATTTTTACCGAAGTCAAAGAACAATAAAATACAGGAAGTTATTTATTTATCTCAGTTAGATTCTGAAGATTATTTACAACCTCTACATACACAACTCGATACAGGTAAAAATATAACTATATATCTATATTCCACTTTTCATTCCAACGTCTTCTTACAATTCCACTAAAACTAACAGGTTTCATGACATCACTAGAGGGGAACTGACATATATATTAATATTAGCTACCGGTAGCTCCTCTCTAGTGACATCATAAAACACATTAGTTTTAGTGGAATTACAAGAACCACAGACGTCTGATGTAAAATTAGAATGATGTAAATTAATACTATCAGTGTCCCTGATACACATGCAAAATTTAGAAAACCTCTTTACAATCTCTTTAACAAGAACCACAGACGTCTGATGTAAAATTAGAATGATGTAAATTAATACTATCAGTGTCCCTGATACACATACAAAATTTAGAAAACCTCTTTACAATCTCTTTAACAAGAACCACAGACGTCTGATGTAAAATTAGAATGATGTAAATTGATACTATCAATGTCCCTGATACACATACAAAATTTAGAAAACTTCTTTACAATCTCTTTAACAAGAACCACAGACGTCTGATTGAAAATTAGAATGATGTAAATTGATACTATCAATGTCCCTGATACACATAAAAAATTTAGAAAACCTCTTTACAATCTCTTTAACAAGAATCACAGACGTCTGATGTAAAATTAGAATGATGTAAATTGATACTATCAATGTCCCTGATACACATACAAAATTTAGAAAACCTCTTTACAATCTCTTTAACAAGAACCACAGACGTCTGATGTAAAATTAGAATGGTGTAAATTGATACTATCAATGTCTCTGATACATATATAAAATTTAGAAAACCTCTTTACAATCTCTTTAACAAGAACCACAGACGTCTGATTGAAAATTAGAATGATGTAAATTGATACTATCAATGTCCCTGATACACATACAAAATTTAGAAAACCTCTTTACAATCTCTTTAACAAGAACCACAGACGTCTGATGTAAAATTAGAATGATGTAAATTGATACTATCAATGTCCCTGATACACATACAAAATTTAGAAAACCTCTTTACAATCTCTTTAACAAGAACCACAGACGTCTGATGTAAAATTAGAATGGTGTAAATTGATACTATCAATGTCTCTGATACATATATAAAATTTAGAAAACCTCTTTACAATCTCTTTAACAAGAACCACAGACGTCTGATGTAAAATGAGAATGGTGTAAATTGATACTATCAATGTCTCTGATACATATATAAAATTTAGAAAACCTCTTTACAATCTCTTTAACAAGAACCACAGACGTCTGATGTAAAATTAGAATGGTGTAAATTGATACTATCAATGTCTCTGATACATATATAAAATTTAGAAAACTTCTTTACAATCTCTTTAACAAGAACCACAGACGTCTGATGTAAAATTAGAATGGTGTAAATTGATACTATCAATGTCTCTGATACATATATAAAATTTAGAAAACCTCTTTATAATCTCTTTAATTATTGCTGCATTTGGAAATGATGTTTGATTTTTCTCATTTTTTTGCCGTTATTATTATTGCCAAGTAAAATTACTATGGAAACTTTTTAAATAACTTGTTAAAGTATATCTAAGATATTAACGTTATACTACTTGTGTTATTTTCCAGGTCAAGAATTAAACAGTTTATTTTGTATGGAAGAGAAAGTCTGTATCAAGTTTTTAACGTGTATTAGTTGTTATCCGAATGGTACGAACCAGGAAACGTTTGGTTGTCAAGTTATATATACTGATTCTTCTTCTAAATATATTGTAGGACAGGTAAAATAGTTTTAACACTTGATGACACTCTGCTGACTTGAATTGGCCAAACTACAGACCTTTCAGATAGTCTACACCAATACTCCTTGTTTCTTCATAAGACAAGACTCTATATATTAAATCAAATTGTATCATCAAGAAGATCTTGTTGAAGATTGAGGCAATGGTTTTTAATTCTATTTCAGACCTGGTTATATGATGATAGAATTAATGTTGATGTGTGAAAGACAAGTAAAATTTTATATTTAGAAGGTTATGTTGGCTGTTGTGACCATTCAGCAGATTCTAAATTAAATACATACATTTCAATATGCCATAAAGACAAGAAAAACAAACTAAATTGTGTTCAGCTAGTGTCTGAAGATGTCTGTTTCTCTTGTTCAGCAATATTCTTATATAGATGAAAAGTATCGGGAAATAATTTTACCAAGTGAGAGATCTGAGTGCTATTGTTTAATTGTTTGTACTAATGTTCCTGGTGTGACCAGATCAGATCACATATTCTCGAAACAATCTTAACTTCTAACACTGTTTCTAGGATATCCTAGGTTCTTATCTTCTAACATTGATTCTAGGATATCCTAGGGTCTTAACTTCTAACACTGTTTCTAGGATATCCTAGGTTCTTATCTTCTAACACTGTTTCTAGGATATCCTAGGTTCTTATCTTCTAACATTGATTCTAGGATATCCTAGGGTCTTAACTTCTAACACTGTTTCTAGGATATCCTAGGTTCTTATCTTCTAACATTGATTCTAGGATGTCCTAGGTTCTTATCTTCTAACATTGATTCTAGGATATCCTAGGTTCTTATCTTCTAACATTGATTCTAGGATATCCTAGGTTCTTATCTTCTAACATTGATTCTAGGATGTCCAGGATATCTTAACATTATGATTGTTTAGAGAATACGTGGTCTGGTTTATATATGTCAATATGTTTTTGAGTGCATGTAGTAATATAAAGAGTATTGATATAAGGTTTTGTATTATTGATATGAGAGTGAAACGAGGGGCTTGCTCCCCAAAACTTAAAGATGGGTTTCTTTATTTTTTAGTGTCAAATTAAGCAAACTATTTGATTAATTGGTGTTTTCTAATGAATTATCATGTATTCTTAATCATATCATTATGTTCTTATTTCATATAATTAAGAGTTTTAACCAATCCATGTATGTACAGACTGGTTAAACAAAAAAAAAGACTTTTTGACCTTTCTTGATCGGTCATTCATTGGAATTCTGCTGGTAATTCTCTTCTAATTTAGCTAATTATGAATTAATCATGGACATGTGAGACAAACTGATATTTTTCCAAGTCATTTGAACACCTCTACTTTCTTTTCATATAAGTATTAGCATTTTGATTGTCATGCATGAAAATAAGGAAACCCATCTTTAACTAAAATCAAATATGAATTTAGCTTTATTATCCAATCAGATTCCTGTATATCTTAAAGTTTTTGAGAATAAGACCGAGAATAACCCAAATTTCCAAGCTGAAATTTGTTACTTGTAATTGATATAGAAGAATTTATAGAATAATTTTGATGTATAAATTATATATATAAAATGAAAGTAGAGTTTCTACAATATTATGATGTATTTTCATATTAGTCACAAAAACTTAACAAAGCTGAAATATTATCTTCATTATGAATAACAGAAAATACTTTGATTGGATTGTTCACCAGCAAATACAGCCAATCAGAGTCCTTCATAGACAGACTGAAAACATAGCTATTATTTACAGACTTTCTGTCGAGGGCTCTGATTGATGATACAAGAAAGATGTCTATTGCAGTCAAGGTATAAGTATAAAGTAATAGTTTGATATTGTGAAGACAGACAATAATTAAATTAGTGGATATCAGTTTTTCAAATCATTGTATTAAGTTTTTGTAAGATTAGCTTTAGTCTTTAGAGACAATAAAATATAGAATTATTTAGCTCTGTGTTTAAGGAGGGGTTATGAGGAGTTATGAAGGTTTATGAAGGGTTATGAAGGTTATGAAGGGTTATCCAGTGGTAAAGCATGTACAACACTTGCCCAGTAACAATACTACAGTTCAATTTCATTCTGGTCCAACATTTTCATACAACATCTTTCTCATCTGTAATACAGGTTAGAGTGCAGCAACAGGGACAGTCTTGGTTGCCGATTTTTGTCACCGATTTGAATCTTGAGTATTATCTTGTGTGTGCCTACTCTTCCCTCGTAAGTGATGCAGGCAAGAGGAGCTGACAAAGTGCCTAGTTGTTTAGGTGGGATAATAAACTGTGTGCTATAGGCTGTGCATGATCCCTCCAGAGTTAGAAAGCGGACATTAAACTCCATTCATTTGATTGAAATATTGTCCACAACTATTGAAGCCCTGGTATAGAAAACAAGATATTAATATATAATGTAAAAATACATTGTGTCAATATATATATATCACAGTCACCTCCATATTACAATACAGGTGAATTATAAAAATATATTATTAATATTTACAAATACATATTATTAATATAATGCCCACATATCAGGGAATAGAGATTCTAATTGATAAAACACCAAGCTCTCATTTTCAACTGGATATGTTTTCAGCCATCTTGAAAAAATAAAATAAACCAATTTGGCTTGGTATAAATATATAAGTGGATATGGAAAATATCCAAATATTGGGCAGTAAAAATGAGAATATTATATTTTCAATCAGGAATTTCTATTTAATATTTTCTTTTTCAGTTCTACGATAGTTTTTTCTGATAAAAATTCATGTTCTTGATCAGATGACACTATTTTATTTTCATTGCACATCAGCCTAGCAGATACCTTTTCCGTTTGATAGTCCTCAGACATAAGTATAGAGTCACATTGAGAAACAATCACTGGCGCTTCCTCGTTAGTATAAGAGACGATTGTATTTTCTACAAATTTCGTTAAATTACGAACAATCGTGTTGGACTTGACACTCATTTTTTCATTTCCGTTTTCTTTCTGTAAATTATTTTCTGCTTTGAGTCTTTTTGAATCTGAATTTTGACATTCTATCTCTCCCAGTGTTCGTTTGAGAGGATTAGAACCAGATTCAGAATTCAATGTCTTAGCTTCTTCTGTTTCAGAACTCTCCACACTAGAAAGATTAGAGTTAAAAATATTTTGATCTGAAATCTGAGAGTTATCAGACTTGTTAATATTTTCATGTCCTGCTTCAACAATAGGCGTAACGGAAATATTTTGGTACCGAATAAAATTTGTCCATTTCTCAGACCTACAATCAGATGTAGAGGAACAATTTAAAATAGATTTGGCTGCAGGAACAACCTGATTTTTTTTTGAGTTTGCTAAATGTTTTGTATTTTCAGTCCCTTGCTGCCGAATAGAAAATATTTTTAAATAAGATTGTTTCCACCCTTCTGTTTCTTTGTTATTTGATTCAGACGCTGGTGGGGTGGGATTTTCACTCTTTTCAGCAACTATTTCTCCTAACTTTTGAAGCTGGGGTGGCTGACGGTCTAGTGAAGAACAGATATCGACCAGTGCTAGAACACCTTTAGATGTATCCTCAACTTCACATGGAGGAAAGTTCTCACGATTTAAATTTAGGGCCTCAGTCACTGTTTGGTTATTTTTTATAGGAAACTGTACAGGATTTGGTACAGCAGGTTCAGTCATAGTTCGGTAACTTTGTACAGGCAACTCTGTAGGATTCGATATTGTTTTATTTATTGATTGAGATTTTGTAATGTACTCTTTCAATTCCTGTGGATTATTAGACAGTTTCAGAATGTCATCATCTAAAACACATTGCACTAAGTCAACTTTATATCCCTGAAATTCCAGCATCACAATTCCTTCATCCCCTAAATCTTGTTTAATACAAACATTTCCTTGGATTTTCACTGATTTAGGGGCCTGTTCACTACAGAACACTATAGATGACTGATTTTTCAAACAATTTTCCACCAGCAAAGGAGAAAATGAAACAGATTCACTTGAATTTGAAGAATTTGGACTGGAACTTTCAATATTAATAGCATCTCCACGAACTAAGCTTGGCATTCTCAATTCATCTATAATGCCAACATTACAAGAATTGTGTTGAATTTTACGCATTTCATTTTGAAGATCATCGTCTACCACTGAATTCCCATGACTTTCTCCATGCATTGTTGAAGTATGACTCAACAGTTGTCTCAGAGCATTGTTTCTATTTTTAGGAATGGATGATAGCTCAGAGTTTCTTCCCATTTCAGACACATCTGATTCTGAAGCCACCTCGGGTGTTGGCACTCGGTTTAGTCTCCTTTCCCCTGTCTTCTCAATAGGAGATCCTGGTTTTTCCAAAGAGTTTGCTCTGAGTCTGAACACACTATGTTTCTTGTATTGCTCGATTTCTTCCCTGACTGATGTCAGATCATACGTCTGACCATTGCCAGAATTCGGCCTTGAAACAGAACTGGAACTTTTTCGGAAATCTGGATGCTTTGAAAAGTCAGGATCTGATGCTGGAGAGTTAGAATGATATTGATGTTCACCAGGATGGCGTCTGTATGGATAAAATCTTGGTGGAACCATTCTAGGAAGAATGACCGGATTTATTGGATGTGATCCAAATCTATGGAAAGGATTTTGAGTTGGATGAATTGGAAAAACCATTGGATCATAGGCATAATGTGGTGGGTACATTCCACGTGGCATGTTAAATTGTGGGTAAGCATGCGGGTGAATTGATATACCGGGATACCAGGCTGGGTGAGCACCTCCTGAATACTGGTCATAATCATGGGAACCATAAGAAGTTGGTGGTCCTTTATGATTTTGTGATCCAGAAGATTCATGGGTAGAGTTTGGTGAAGCGAACCCACCATGACCTGTAACTGTCACATTGGGTGGACTGAAAAATTGGCGATGAGCCTCATCATATGTGGCACTTATCGACTGAGGTTTGTGGACATGAAAATTGTGAAAAGCTGTCTGTTCATGATGAGTTTGGCTTTCTGAGGATGGATGATTGGGAAGATGCTGTTGAGGAACCTGAGCAGGCTGAAGAACTGGGAGGCGAACAGATCCTGTGATATTTTCATTTGAATCTGCTCCAGAGACAGTGTCAGTTTGATTATTAGGTTTTAATTGAGTGTTCACCTCACTGTTCACATCACTGTTCACATCACTGTTTACAGGCGTTTCTCTTGATAATTGTTGAGAAATTACACTATAAGATTCACTTAATCTAGTTGGTCTCTGTCTTAAACATGATTTCAACAATAATTGGTCCTTTTCAAAAGCACTTTGAATATAAGAAGAATTTTCAGTTGATGTTCCATGAACACTTTCCATTGCATCTTGTTCACTGATTGTTTTCATTCCGTTCTGGACAACATCCAATGAATAAGGCTCACAAGTTGTTTTAAACACATCCTTTACGCTGGTCACATTAGGCATATTTTCAGGTGTTTCAGTCCGAGCACTAGATGACTCCGCCTCCTTGATTGCTTTTAAGGCGTTAAATTGTCTGGGATTAACACACGAAGCATCATCTTCACAATCCATAGGATGGGGTGGTGTTGTCATTCTGGTTTCAGTTGAAATTGATGAAGATTGTGACAAACTTTCAGGATACATTGAAATTCTGATTGGAGAGGATGGTTGAGAATCCTGAGGGTCGTCATCAAATCCTCCAATGATGATAGATGGCGTTGGTGTATAATCTTCAATCAATATTTCTGTATCATCTCCGTTAGCCGTTTCCCCCACCGAGAACCCATTTATATCAATTCTAGGGGGCGACATCAATTCATAGGAAGAATCCAAATCATCATCACAAGATGAAGACATAAAATAAGTTCCATTAGCACGTCTCGGAGGAGTTTTAGAAGATCCAGATACAGGTTTACGTAAATAGATACATTTTCTATAAATACAAGATTGTTTGAGTACACTTCTCCGTAAACAATTACTACATTCACCACAATTAGTACGAATCTGACACGGTCCACATTGACCACACCTCTTCCTTCGTTTTAATCGTGCTGGTTTGTCTGGGTGATCAGATTCTAGAGACTGATCCTCCTCCTGACTGGGAAACCATGGAACAGGATCATCAGGATGGACAATAATCCCATCTTTAGTATCCTCATCAGAATCCATGGTACATAGAGTTATCATTGAAATAAAATTATCATCTCGTACAATTAGAGTTATCTTTCTTTAATATTCTCTTCATACCAAATCTGTAAAACACAACACAAGGGTAGGTAACTGAGTTTTTTTTTTACATGTATAGCATTTAAATCATTTTAAACATTAGTTTATGGTAAAAAAAAATAGTTTTGATTTGATTTCTGTTGAAATAAGAATCTTTGTAAACCCTATACTGTATAGTAGAGAGTATATTACTATAAAATCATCTGAAATAATATATAAAAATCAAGAATTCTGTTTGTATTTTCATATCAATGTTTGGTTTAAATATAAGTATATTAAAAATGTAGATTTTTTATTGGTTTCATTATATAAAACGTAAATATCGTGAGGCGTATCAAATCCTGGCCTTAAATATCGTTTTCAGCCATTCTTATTAGTTTTGTGCATTCTCAGAAAGTGCTGGGACAAATCGTAGTAAAAATACTAGCTGTGTAGTGACCCAGAAATATGGCTATGTTGATTCTCAAAACAGGACAACGAGTTGACATCAATATATACACTGCCAACTTATTTCTAAATGTTTTCTGTCAGAATTCACGTTAAATTCAATATTCTTGGTGAAATAAGGAAGAATATATCTTCTATTTATAATGTCTGTAAAAATGCCATGTCTCTGACTAAATACATCCTACCATTTTAACATGAACATAAAAAATCAATAATCTCCGTTCTGATGATAAATAGTGAATAAAGTTTTAACGCCAGTAGAAATAAAAATTTCTGAAGGTCAACTTTACATGTCAGAAAATTGATTTTTAAAATAAAATAATCTTTTAAGCTGTGCCGAAAAATTTTAAAATTCAAACCTTGACCCATAAAGCACACTACCTTATCAATAAATAGATAATAACTTTATATAAATAATTTTCACAAATCAAAAGAAATTCCTGTATATAAGAAGGACCATTAATTATAATAAAACGTTTTTTTAAAGATATTTATTTTTTTTATGTTAGACAGGACCATGTCCTTATATATTGGGCCTAATTCTATAACTATAATTTATAAAACAAACTTTACACATTACAATCAGTTTTAAAATCACCAGATATCATGAATATCAATTACCTCAGTCTGTAATACAAAGTTTACTTGCTGAAGTGAAACACGGTAGTTTGAGACGTGTTGAATAAATGATATCAATGATTATACTATTCCAATGAGTAAATCAACAAAATCATCGAACAATGATCAAAATTAAAACGATATCAGTTGGGCTGATGTTGAATGTTAAAAATTAATTTACAGACAAACAAAATGAAAAATATCTTTAAAACTAACAACTGTTTGAATAGAAACAATGAAACATCACAAAATATTTACATCAATAATCACTCATTAACAAATAATTATAGAGAAATATTAACAAACTAACTTATCTTATAGAAGTTTTAAACCTAGCCCAAGTCTGCTAATAACTGAAAGTAGGTCAAAGGGTCAAGTAACAATGTTAAGTATATTTTACGCTAACTTCACTATTCAGGTTAGCAGACGGCAGACAGAAACTAGATTTACAGCCGGTACACTCTTAGACTCTTATCAAGATGTTAATTTGACTTTTTATAGGATGTCTGTCCAGATTCTAATATATAAATTTATCAGACGCTATCAATGAAATATCAAACACATAATAATAATAATAATAATACGCCATATATTAAACAACACAAAACAAATAAATAGCCAAATTGTAACCTACTTGAAAATCTAATTAGCGAAAATGTAATTAAAAATTTCAAGTATTACTTTGTTCGTTAATATTAAAATGTTTGTGTATATTTTATATGGAACATGGATGTATACAAAACAATGTTCGTTGATATCCTGTTTTCTCTTTTAGTCTTCAATATTCTTATATCTTATATAAATATTAAAAAATTATTTACTCTTAGATAAAATTTATTTCATTTTGCCAGTTAATGTTAAAATACATCGTTAATCTAAAATTAGAAATAATCAGATGTAAAATAAAAAACCCCGAAATTTCTATAATTTCTGAATATATTTACCCAATGAAAACTACAGAATTCAGTTGATAATCAAATTCAAAATCGTTGATCGAAATTCTTGATAGAAAGACATAAAACAGTCAGTGACAGTCGGTAAGACGAATGAATTCGTTGATACGTGGATTAGTGGATCAAATGTAGTATAAAATATTACCTTTAATTTTCTGAAATAACTGCTTACAAGAGATACTCAGATACATTGTACACTGTTAGTGGTTAGAGTTCACAGTGTTAATAACTCACCTGTCAATCAAAGAGGTCAATAGGTCAGATATGTCATGTGATCAATCAAGAGTTATAACAGTTTGACAACTTTTTACCCTCTCATTTTTTTCAGTTTTCAATTTTTCTCAATTGTATTAAGTTAATCTATATTTTATTTACGTGGTAGAACGATTTAGGATTTCCAATTCAAACACCACTCTTGAAATGAATCACTCAATGTTTTGTAGATTGGCAATTTGTTCAGACTGGACAATAAATTCTGGCCCCGTGTGCTACAGACTGTGCACGAGCCAGGCTCATACAGCTGTCTTGGAAAAAATTTCCCTCATTGCACACTACATGGCGTTTCCGTCTTCTTGAGCCAAATTAAGGTACAGAATACGCAATACTCCATTTATATTATTTCTGATCTCTGTGAAAATTAATGTTAATTTAATGTTTGCTACAATAGATATCAAATAAAACTTTATTATTATTTATTCAAGTTAAAAAACCAACGTAATCTACCTTTAAACGTAAACTGTCTTCCTTTCGTTCATTCTAAAATCTCATATCGTTAAAACCTGTCGGTGAAGGCCTGCAGTAAATTAATCATGAACTGAGTTGTTGGCAGTTAGCCAAGATATTCAGTCAGGTCATATATAATCAATGTCTAATGTCAAACTCAGCTCTCCGCGGCCGGCCATCATTATAATATACACAATATATTGTCTTAGATAATTTTCTCATATAACAGTTGCGTAACTTTATACAATTTCAACCAGCCTGGACTAAGGGTTCTTGTTTCAATAATAACCTTGCCAGACACGGTTAAGTAAGATGTGTAAATGTCTGGTACCTTTCATCGAGTCATAACAATATCTCCATACTATTCCCCAAATACGAAACTTTCAACCATTTTGAACTATTTATAACCAGGCTTCTCGTTTCATCTTTTAACCTGCCGGACATTTTAGCGTTATACATAATCAATGTATGAATAACTCACAGCTTGTAAAATATACATCATTATACATCGTTAATTTCTTCTCACCATTTACATAAATTTTGACTCTTTAAATCAGAATCAGGGTTTGTATTAATGATTTTCTCCACCAGACATTTTTAGTGTTAAGTCAGACATTGTAAGTCTAAATGAAAATACTGACTACAGTTCATCTCATGTCCTGGAACCTTTTCAGTATAAAATGTGAATATTAAGATCAAGAAACAGAAAAGCTTGAGAAGATGATCTCCATTTTAAAGTTGTGTTAAATTGGTTAATTATATGATTTACTGAAGACAGAGCGAAAATAAGATTTTATACAATTTTTAAAATACTTTCCTTATATCTTTAATTGAATAAATATCAAAACCAACATGTGATATTGTCAAACTCTAACGACACTACTTCCTTAACGATGTTACCTTCTTAACGAGCAATTACCTTAACGAACACCCTTCTATTCAATCAACTGTCTTCTACGCCTGGGTCAAAACACAAAAACCAAGTGGACTGAAAAGTAAACTATCGCGTTAAAATAATAACCAAATTTGTGATCAAAACAGTGAAATTGGAACGTTGTTTCCAACCTTAACAAACAATATTGAGAAAAAAAAAACAATTGTTTTCTATGCTTAGTGATACACCAAAACCAAACGTGCTTAAAAACAACAAAAAGTATCCTGTAAAATAAACAGGTGAATTTATTTTTAAAAAAAACCCCGAAATCTACGAAATTGGAATGTTGTATCCAACTTAACAATTTATACACCCAAACAAGCATTTACTTTGATGAAAAACAAGTTATTTTCGATGTCCTGGCCCCAAAAAAAATATTCTACTTGTAAAAGACAAAAACTATCCTGTAAAATAAATAGCTGAATTTATCAAATAATAAATAAATGAAGTCTGCGAAATTGTTGTTTCCAACCCTAATGATGTTAATACCTTAACGAATAGTCAGTTGTTTCCAACCCTAATGATGTTAATACCTTAACCAGCATTCACCTTAATGAATAGTCAGTTGTTTCCAACCCTAATGATGTTAATACCTTAACCAGCATTCACCTTAACGAATAGTCAGTTGTTTCCAACCCTAATGATGTTAATACCTTAACAAGCATTCACCTTCACGAATAGTCAGTTGTTTCCAACCCTAATGATGTTAACACCTTAACCAGCATTCACCTTAACGAATAGTCAGTTGTTTCCAACCCTAATGATGTTAATACCTTAACCAGCATTCACCTTAACGAATAGTCAGTTGTTTCCAACCCTAATGATGTTAATACCTTAACCAGCATTCACCTTAACGAATAGTCAGTTGTTTCCAACCCTAATGATGTATACACCTTAACCAGCATTCACCTTAACGAATAGTCAGTTGTTTCCAACCCTAATGATGTTAATACCTTAACCAGCATTCACCTTAACGAATAGTCAGTTGTTTCCAACCCTAATGATGTTAATACCTTAACCAGCATTCACCTTAACGAATAGTCAGTTGTTTCCAACCCTAATGATGTTAATACCTTAACCAGCATTCACCTTCACGAATAGTCAGTTGTTTCCAACCCTAATGATGTATACACCTTAACCAGCATTCACCTTAACGAATAGTCAGTTGTTTCCAACCCTAATGATGTTAATACCTTAACGAGCATTCACCTTAACGAATAGTCAGTTGTTTCCAACCCTAATGATGTTAATACCTTAACCAGCATTCACCTTAATGAATAGTCAGTTGTTTTCAACCCTAATGATGTTAACACCTTAACCAGCATTCACCTTAACGAATAGTCAGTTGTTTCCAACCCTAATGATGTTAATACCTTAACCAGCATTCACCTTAATGAATAGTCAGTTGTTTCCAACCCTAATGATGTTAACACCTTAACCAGCATTCACCTTAACGAATAGTCAGTTGTTTCCAACCCTAATGATGTTAACACCTTAACCAGCATTCACCTTAACGAATAGTCAGTTGTTTCCAACCCTAATGATGTTAATACCTTAACCAGCATTCACCTTAACGAATAGTCAGTTGTTTCCAACCCTAATGATGTTAATACCTTAACCAGCATTCACCTTAACGAATAGTCAGTTGTTTCCATGCCCATACAAAAAATTAATATACCGGTAAATGATACCCAAATAAATTTAGAATTCTATTGCCTTGAATCTGTAGAATGTACGGTAAGTGTAACTAGAGAAAAAAGGCCGAGTCATGGAGAAAATTCAGAGTTTAAAATGTTACACCCTGTGAAAGTCTAGTTAGATCTATAAACCAGGTCAAAACGAACTTCAGCAAGTTTCAACTCCAGCCTGTGTGTTATTTTAATCAGCTCTACCGCTATCCACTCTCTACTTGGCAATCTGCCAATATTACTCGTTAACTGAATGAAATTTGACACAACCACACGTCGATCTGTCTAACGGCAAACCATAATCATCACAAACCAGTTCTCAGAACTTTAAAACGAAATCAGTATCATAATATTGGAGGTAATAAGCATTAAATCCCACAAAACAAATATAAACATTGGGCTTGATATAGTCTAATATTTTCTTTTAATAGTTGGTATACGATTTGTGAACCAAAAGACCACGAGTTCAGTCCCTTGGCCATGCGACGATGTTTTTCATTCCGCGATATAAGTTTACTTATTTCACAAATAGCGGCCATTTCAAACGTGTCGTTCACAAATTTCACACAGAATGGATAAGAAATATATTCATGTTTTGGATTTTACTCACCAAATTGTTGAAATTTCTTTAACTTTAAAAGAATTGATTGCAGACTTTCCCGAAATCAAGTTTTGATCTTTAATGACGACGCCATGTTGGTTGTTTACATCCGCGTGAAAAAAAAGAGTCTGAACTAACCGATAAATAATTTATTTTAAAAATAAAATGTGTTTGTTTGACATAATTCATCAAAAGGTAAAATATGACGAAATCTTTAATGGGGCATCATAAATAACTCGAGTTTCATTTTATTCCATATTTTGTTCTGTAAATAGTAAAAATGAGAAACACTGATATGGTGATGAATTTATCGGTTAGTTTACAGACTGTCAAATTTCTGACTGGATAATATTTCTATAAAATGTCTGTCAGTTGATGACAGGACACAGTGACAGCTTGACAGTGATAACTAAACAAACTATGACATAATAACGTCAACGGTCAATTTCATTCTTAGATTGGTCTTATATTCTTGTCACTGTATTTAATGGTAAGGGCATAATAATGGCTACAAATTATTATTAATAGGGATTAAAGCAAGGATTCTACTGTTGTTAAGTTCCAATTACCAGATTCTGTGAATGATGACATAATGATTTGGCTCTTGATTGGTTGACTGAGTAATAATGACTAATTACAGTCTGTCAGGTTCAATTCTGTTCAGATTTCAATAATTCCCAGGATTAATCTGACTAGACTAGGTTCTCCTACCATGAAGGAATGTTAACTTGTTACTATACAATATCAAAATAGTTTGGAGAAGTAGGCTAGTTAATTAAGGAAGAGTCAGGTCAGAATTGGATGGTGGATGGATAGTTAAAAATAAGAAACAAACAATTATATTTTACAAGGAGAACAACTGGCACATGAGTTGTCTTGGTCGGAGACTTTTGTCGCCAATTAGAGTCTTGTCTTGAATTTCAACACGGGCACACGAGAAGACAAAAATCTCCAGTCGGTCGTTTTCCACCTTGTCGATAATCACGTGCGGAGCATGCAATTGAAAGGAATCTGATTGGATGATGACGGTCTGTCTTGCAGACGATAAAACTGTCGGAGACAATTATCAAACTTGTTTAATATTATAAATCCTGTCAGCGACATGATAATCTTGTTGTGGGAGCATGGGCACACACGAGATTTTACTCAAGATTCGAGTCTGAGACAAAAATCTCTGCTCCTGTACACGCACCTTAAAGTTAACAGTTGACCAAATCTTGGCATAGATATTTCTCGGATTATCTGTACCCATTTATAGCTGGGTCGACTTATTCAAGTCTATCGGACTATCACACGCCAATCTGTATGAAGATCAATATGATATATATCTGTTAACTTAAATGTTTTATTTCATATTATTTTGCAGTTCTAGTTACCTCTGAAAAAAATTCAGATCTATATTTTAATTATATTGTAGTCTGGTCTCACAACATATTCTTACTTTAATTTGAGAAGAATTGAAGGTGTAAAGAGATGAAATAGATGAAAAGTTTGAAAGATGGTGTTATTAGTGGGACCAACAAGTTCTGGTAAAACCTTGATGTTGAAACGTTTACAGTGCCATAATTTTACTGTGAAAGGTGGAATCGAGAACTTAGATAATGTGCCATCTACCATTCCAACTGTAGGTACGAACATGGTTAATGTGGTTACAGGACGTCGGACGGCTGAGATAACCGTACGTGAATTAGGTGGAACTATGGCTCCCATTTGGCAAAAATATTATAAAGATTCTTATGCAATAATTTTTATGATTGACATTTCGAACCGATTTCAATTATCAGCTGCTTGTATACAGTTATTGATGTTGATGTCATCACCAGACACCAACATACCAATCGCCATAGTTTTTAATAAAACTGATTCATTATCAATCATGTCCAGAAGTGAAATTGAAAGTGTTCTCCGATTGGATGAAATTCTAGAAACAGCCACGCAGAAAATGACTGTGTTTCATGTCAGTGCCAAGACAGGAAAAGGTTTGGATGGAATTGTAAAATGGATTTCTGAAAATAACATTCCTGATAGAGCCAATATGGAAATTTCTCAATGAATTTTACTTTTACATGTAGTTGAATCACATCAATTTATTATTAGATTTAAGATAGCAAGTACGCAGACAAGCCATCTAATAAGTTTTGTAGCTTATATTTATTTTGTATTTCGAGATTAGGTATTGTGGGGTTAGAGCTGACAGCAGACTGACTCTCACAAGCACTGGTACAGGTATTAGAATGCTTCTTACCTTGAGGAGGATTCCAACCCATGGCACCTAATTGCCTAACAGACGATAATCTAACTGGCCACCGAATGAGCTATTCCAATACCACAAAAAGACAGTGTTCTAACCCAGTGTTAGAGGGAAATATCAGTATTGAAGTTTAAACAGTTTGAAAGTTGTTAACCCCTACAAGAAGATATTAAGATTAGAGAATATGTACAGGGAGGCTACTCTGGTTAATACTAATTGAGTCTAAGTTTTATATAAATGGTGTCTCCCCGATTCATCTGTAGTAAGGTGTGGCATACTTAACTTTTTAACAAATTTTTATTATTTTGAAGCTGGCTCATATTTGTCTTTTAAATGTCGTTAAATTTTCCATCTTCTACATTCCTGTATTAACCATATTCCATTTCCTGTCAATAATAATAAATAGAAATAAATTGAATAAAGTTTTACTCCCTTTTAATGAAGACAGGCAATGCCATGCAGTGTGCAATAAGGGAAATTTTGCCAGGACAGCGGCATTAGCCTACTTTCTTTCGATTTCCAACTGTCAAGGGATCTTTAAAGTGCAAAGCTGTAGCACAGGGGATCTTGGTTTATTGACAAGAGGAAACCAGGTTAAAAAATCCAAAGGTATTATCTAGACCTATGCCCTATTGCAAATTTTTGGGTAACATAGCCATTCCATTTTCAATTGTTAAACACATCAAAGTTTTGATTGATCTAGCACATTATATATGACATTATCTCAGGGGCAAGCAACATAGTATTGCATGCTGGCGTATGTTACTGTGTCTTGCCTCTACACAGCTATCAAGGGAGGTAACTCCAGTTAGTAAAAATTGTTATTGCGACACAAAATGGCGAACGAGGATATAGAAATTCTTCGACAAGTTCGAAATGAAGTCACAGAATTACGAAAATTGGGAGAAGATTGGGGAATGACCCCATCACAGATTAATAACTGCATTGAGGAGGCTTTCGGTCAGAATTTAACAATTCAAATTACTGAGAAAATCGCCAAGAAAATACAACAGGGAACAAAATGGAGCAAGGTCCGGTTCGCATTCCGCTTATGGCTGGCCTTCATTATTGTCCTGTTCGGGTTTGCTGTGATGGTTACAAACACAGACTATTTGTCCAGGGCTATCGCTAAAGCCATGCAACCCTACGGCTATCCATTGATGAGAGCAGTTCGGTTAGTCGCTGTACCACTACATCATTACAATATCAGCAGTAAGTATTAGTAGGGTGAGGGGGCACTTTGCCAAGCTTTGCCTTATAGTCTACCTTAGATATTTTCTCCCTCAAGTAGCTCCTGGGATCTTATGGATATATTGATTTTTTTCTTACAAGTGGATAACCAGCAGCAGGATTTGGTTCGTCTCGGATAACCTGTAGACCAAATATATATTGGTAGAATGGATTCTTGAACTTGAGAACCAACGCTCTGATAGACAATTTAGAAAGATATAGCTTATTATGATTGATACCATGTCCAAATAAATTCTGAGCTGTCTAACTGATAATTTTTCTATTCTTATTAATTCTAGGTTACCATAATAATGACTGTTTGGTGATGAATCCCTATTTTATTGATTCTGAAGATGATTGTTTGTGTCAAGGAATAACCAAAGTTCGTGTCACCAAACTGAAGAAGGATAAAGAATTAGGAATGCAGTTTTTCCAAAAACCAATTCTCTTCAAGGTTTGTATTACATGAAAGTCATGGTGAAAATAATACCATTTAAACAGAATTAAGTTTATATGTCAAACTCGGATTCAATATTAATAAATGCAGTCACGGTTTAAACCTTCAAGAGATGATATAAATAGCACCAATTGTTAATGAAATATAACATCTGACATAGTTGGAGGGTGATAGCCTACACCAGACCATCTCCCAGAAGCACTAGCACAGGCATCAGAATTTTTCTTATCTTGAGGATCCACGCAACTAATGTCCTAGCAGCAGATGACAATCAAACTCGCTACCAACTGAGCTATTACACTGTTACAAAAACCCAGCGTTGGAGGGAAGTAATGATGTTTGAAAGTTATTAACTCCATCTTGTCTGACATACTGGTAACTTACAAACAAAGTTCTTGTCTGACATACTGGTAACTTACAAACAAAGTTCTTGTCTGTCACCACATGAAAAGTTGTCAAGATTTCTATAATATTTGTTATAGTATTTTATCATGGTAGATGATCATTCAACACCACAATGATATAAAACTTGCCAATTTAATAATTATATTACAGGGTTTAAAGAAGGATTTGGTTCCTCTACAAAATATCATAAAACTGGTACAACGTGAAACTGAAATTCTGAAAGATCCGTCTTTAACTGTAGAATCGAGTGTTGATTGGATGAAAACTATTGGTGATTTTAATGACCTTGATATAGAAACTAGAATTTACCAAGAAAAAAACTTCCATGTTGAATGGTGGGATAGTTTTACTATTTTCTCATCTAAAAGGAGAAGAAAATGATAATACAGAACCTTTTTGACTGAAATATTTATAATACTTTGATTTTCAATACAGTTCTCCATTCTTATAGTTTCCTCAAATACAGAAAGATTCGTTGAATTTCTTGGCATTTGGATTCCAAAATTGAAGCATTATATTCGACCTTTCTCTAGTCTTGTCTGTCTTTTTCAATCTGAGCCTGAACAGTAAAATGATGTATAATTCATTTCATATCAGTGAAGAAAGAGATAGATTGAACTTGTGGCATTAAGGTGGGAAAAGTTTAAAATCTGCTTTAGTTTATGTACAGTATAAAAATGATTATTTTTTTCAGGAATAGTAGAAGAATGTCATCTAGTCAAACTCTACGAAGTTTATTTCCTCGTCCAGTTGTTTATCCCAAGAAATCAGAGATTGTCATATTGAAGAGTCTGTATATAGCTGGTCCTCATTCTGATGGTATTTATAATATGGTAGGTTTAATTCCTGGGTAATGGATAAGGTTGAAAAATTTCCCTCATTGCACGCTTGATATCATTACCTGTTGAAGAATTGAGAAATCAAGATTAAGTTTCAGTATGAACAGCATGCTGGTATTTATTGCCTGTAATTTATTTTTCTTTCTATTTACCAATATCGTCATCCAATATCTTCATCTAATATCTTCATCTAATATCTTCATCCAATATCTTCATCTAATATCTTCATCTAATATCTTCATCTAATATCTTCATCTAATATCTTCATCTAATATCTTCATCTAATATCTTCATCTAATATCTTTATCCAATATCTTCATCTAATATCTTCATCTAATATCTTCATCTAATATTGATTTCAAAATTTATCTTAAAGTTTTATTTATTTTAATTTTTTCTGACTAATCATCAGAGTATTTTGTATTCAGTCAATGTTTTTTTCTGACTAATCATCAGAGTATTTTGTATTCAGTCAATGTTTTTTTCTGACTAATCATCAGAGTATTTTGTATTCAGTCAATGTTTTTTTCTGACTAATCATCAGAGTATTTTGTATTCTATTTTAGAATAATGGTCATCCTGCCAATGATTTATTCTATATACAGGGAGAACGTACGGTAGTTTTTACTCCACGATATGGATGCCAGGATGTCTGTGATTCTTTTAACGTAAAAACAGAGGCAGGAGATATCTGTAAGTATTTTGACTTCATTGAATACGACCTGCCTCATGTTAACATCATGAACTCAGAATTTTACTCATAACATTTTCAGAATTAGTCTCACTAGAATTATTGGTGTGTAAACGCAGTTGATCATGGGACAAACTGAATAAATATTGAAGTTTAATTTTTATTTCTATATTCTGATCTTCCTCTTAATATAATCTTCATCATTTCATTCCAACTGTTTACTTTTATTTTCTACAAATCTTAAATCAAATCATTCTTTTGTTTTGTGATGTATTTATATTTATTGAAAACAGCTTTTTAATGGTATTTTAAATTCACTTATTCTCATACATGTTTATAGTGAAACCTTACAGTTTGTTCACTGGCGAATTAGAATAATTCAATAATTCATTGCATTTGATTGTAATATTCATATTTTACAGTGATGTTTCCTAATTCATGGAAAGTTGATCTGAGAAAAAACACAGAAGAAATGAGTGTATCATTCCTGGGAGGAATGGCTTGAAGTAGAGTTCCTTGACAACCAACAACAGTAATAATCTGAAGTAATATAAAGTTTATTTGTGAAATGTTAGAGCCAGAAGAAAAGTGGCATTAATCCGAGCCATAACATTTAATATTTGAATCAAAAATACAGGTAGCTTTAAAGATTAAATTAATTTCAAAGTGTGATAAAACTGTACTTAATACAATTATTTTACTGATTTTTATTTGAAATTAAAATGATAAGTTTGGGTGAATTGTCCATCAGTAAATATTTATTAACTCACATTCATTATTCAAACATTGATCTTAATAAAAGTTTTAATTTAAAACAATGACCTTTGTCTTTAGTTATTTTTCTGTAGCCTCCCAATGTGAAGCTATTATAAACTGCCTCTAATACCTTGACTGCAATAGCCGCAATTCTTGTATCATGTAAATTTATAAATGTAGCAATTTGATTGGTTTGTACGTACACTAGCGAATATAGCCAATCAGAAGCCTCGACAGTAAGTGTATCAACCATAAACCATAATGTTTACAGTCTTTATGTCGAGAGCTCTGATTGGCTATATTCTCTATTGTACAATCCAATCAAATATGCTGCATTCTGTGATTCAAGAAAATAGCTTTATGAAGAAAAGATAAAAGTTTATGGGTAAGATTTGAAGAAAGAAAAAGAGTTAGTAGAAGAGTGTTAAAAACTGTTGCTATGGCATCAGATTATTTCTACAAGGGTCACCTTATCGCTAAGAACACAACAATCCAGCTGGCTATTGACTGAGCTTTGACTCTGCCTTATTAGGGAACATCTCGCGTGCTACTGACTATGCTATCCAACTGTCCTGGCGGACTAAAAACTGAGCTATCATATTTTCCAAGTAGACAACAATTCAACTGAGCTATTTATTTGTAGTCTGAAGTAATACAGAGAATTATGAGTTATCTTTCTTACATCTTCTTTAGTCTTAAAGACGTAAAGAGTCGATTATTTAGAACATGGCGGCAAAATTTCATTTTCATGTGAAATATTTTGGAAAAATCTGAATAAAATGAGTCTTTCAACTCAACAAGCTGACAATGACAGCCAGTATCTGATGGTGGCAAAGTTAGACAACGCTCGACATGTCTCCACAATTCTTAAAGCCATTCATTTCAAAGATGTTAGTGCTTTCCTGTTTATAATGATGACCTCCCCAACCAAACCCCCAGTGGTCCACTCTCGATCCCATCCCATTAAAACAGCCATATCGCCTCTCTACCTCGCCTTCCATTCCAATTCTTGTAGTCAGGGCACGGTTAAGCTGCAGTATACTAATCTGTAGAGAAAGATTTTGACGTGTTTCCACTTCTGCAGTTTAGGTCTAAGCGCATTGTTTAGAAGTATAAGTAAGCCTATATATAAAGCACTATATGGCTTACGTTAGCAGTCAGTGTTCTTGAGTCACATTTTTTTAGAATGTAGTCCAGACAGTTTGTGATATAGTCATCTGAACTGTGAATGACCAAAGATTGATTGATGGTCAGTGTAGCTTATTAGTCTGAATAGATTCATTCTTGAAATATATTAATCTAGGAAAATATGGTTCGGAAGTGTAATAAGTGATATGGAAAACTCTCATCTTTAGTTGATCTAAACTACATCATTGTTTTTGTTTTATAGACAGCGACAGTATTTGCCAGTCCAATGGGATTAAAAGTTACAACAGAAGATGCTAAATGTGTTCAAGCCAATGCATTTATTCAAGAAGCTATTTTTCATGGGTTTACTATAAAAGAAGAACAGATTATCTTTAAAATCAACTTAACTGTTTTATTGGTTAATATTTATCTATTTCTTTTATATAGACAATATTTTATTCTTAAATAGATATAAGCTTAGATTATAAAATTGAATAAGATTTTGGGAACAGGTTTCGCCTATATTACCCAGACCCCTCTAGTATTTAATATTCAGAATAAATTAAAAGGTCATTATTTTCAGTGTCTCCAAGTTTTACTTTGCTTGCACTTTTCCAATTTTGTTTGAG